AAATGTCCTATAATATCCTACAATGGCCCTGTCGAACAAAATGTCCTATAATATCCTACAATGGCCCTGTCGAATAAATGTCCTATAATATCCTACAATTGCCCAGTCGAACAAAATGTCCTATAATATCCTACAATGGCCCAGGTGAATAAATGTCCTATAATATCCTACAATGGCCCAGTCAAATAAATGTCCTATAATATCCTACAATGGCCCAGTTGAACAAAATGTCCTATAATGTCCTACAATGGCCCAGTCAAATAAATGTCCTATAATGTCCTACAATGGGCCAGTTGAATGAATGTCCTATAATGGAGTCCTGACTTCAGGTTATACCTTCATTCTCAATTTTAAAAACTTTCTCAGAATTTCTTTATTTAGCATCTAGTTCTGCTAAGTGTTAACTCTGTTTCAACCTCTTTAACTCCTAACAGTGTTAACTCTCTTTTAACCTTTTCTCAGAATTATTGCACCTGGTTTCATATTGTTGAAAATTGTGATTCCAAACTTCTGAGCGGTGTACTTACTCAAAAAGACTTAGAGCAGCTATTGCAGTAAAAGGTAGTTCTAATGTATTTGAGGCCAAGATAAAAATGCTGCATTCTTCAATAGTTACCCTCTTTCCTATTAAGCCATCTGCCTAGGAGGAGAACGATTTCATTTAGCATGTACAAATAGAGCACCACACGAATGCATCTAGAATGTAAAATACAGCACTTCAGATAAAAAGGACGCTCCTAGCCAAAGTGAAAAATGTAACCATTACTACATCTGTCATAAACATGCTCCCTCACATCCTGCAGTGGAGCTGCAGAAGTCCAGAGAGTTGGATTTTCCAGTTTGAAGACCAGAAAAACTCCCTGCTAATGATGTGTCTTGAAGGTGGGAGGGACCTTTGAAAACCTATTATTGGTGGGATTAATGCAGAAGGAGGGCAGATAGTTACCGTTACTGCTAGGAAACTGAATATTTTACTGCAGCCATAACTGTGGTAACTGTCGTGAAGTCATCATGGGGAAAATAGATGACTCGAACAACGAGCAAGACAGCTGAGTGTCTCAGCTTGGCTTTACTTTTCTGGCTGAAAAGATAAAAACTTGAAAGATAGAACCAACGGGCCTCATTCACCAATGTCTTACACCTCCTTCACCAATGTCTTATCTTAAATCTTTTCCTAAATTTGTTCTTGGGAAAGGTCCTAAGGTAAAGTCTACATCAGATTAATGACGTGTTCTTAAACCACAGGATTGTTCGTACTCTTGTGCTCTTCAGTGTGTGTAGATTTTGTTCTTACCTAAAAACAAATCCCAGGAAAACATTGATGAATGTTTTTATCTTTGTGAAAACTGTTTAAGTGGGTTTTAAGAAGAAATTTCAGTAACACTTTCTATGAATGTCACCTTTGTAAGCATCTATAAACGCATTAATAACATGTTATAATGCATGCATAAGACATTATAAACATAGCTATAAATATTTATAAAAATGCATTACACATTATAACCATGCTTATTATGCATTATGAATTGTTAACATAGTACATTATAAGTACTGATCATAACAAGTTATAAGAGCTCATAAGTCATATTAGTCCGCTCTAAGTAAAGTGAAGCGTACTGTACTAAAGCCTCCTCCAGTGTTAAGAGTGAGGCTTCAGGTTGAAGTATTTACTTAAGGATTTACTGAAACCCTAAAACATCACAATGAAGCACATTACAGGCTTCAAATGTCAGAGTTTAAACTAGTGCTGCCATCAGTGTTTTACCCAATGTGGGAAAGTCAATCTACACCACCGTTAGCTTGGTATTTGTCTTTACTTTGCAGTGTCCAAGCTGGGACTGACTTCTTTAGCACTGACAGTATAACATGTTATCAACACTACTTATAATGCATTATATTAACAATTCATAATGTATAATAAACATGGCTATAAAGTGTAATTCAATTTTATAAATGTTTATAATCATGTTTATAATGCCGTATGAAGGCATTATAACATGTTATAAATGTGTTTATAGATGCTTACAAACATGACATTCATAGAAAGTGTTACCAACATACACAATAAAGCACATTACAGGCTTCAAATGTCAGAGTTTAAACTAGTGCTGCCATCAGTGTTTTACCCAATGTGGGAAAGTCAATCTACACCACCGTTAGCTTGGTATTTGTCATTACTTTACGCTCTCCAAGCTGGGACTGACTTCTTTGGCACTGACATTATAACATGTTATTAACACTTTTTATAATGCATTATATTAACAATTCATAATGTATAATAAACATGGCTATAAAGTGTAATACAGTGTAATTCTTTTTTATGAATACATTATAACATGTTATAAATGTGTTTATAGATGCTTACAAACGTGACATTCATAGAAAGTTTTACCGAAATTTCTTCCTAAGAATGGTTAAGTAAATGAGGTGAGGTGAATTTTTTTGTTGTAAAAACTACAACTGAGTTAAAAGTTACATTAATGCTAGTTTGGTTGTATTTACTAGCCTGTAGATCAGTGGCTACACTAGCAGTCAGGACTACTGACACCACAGGGATTGGTTGTGCAATGTATTTCCCTAATGCATGCTGGGTATTGTAGTGGCATTGCTGAACGAAAACTTGCAATTGATATAAAATTGTGTATTCTGTCAAACTGATGTTGCAAAACATGAAAAATGACATATTAAACTCTAGTTTTAGGTCAGAATGGCCATTTCACTAATACGAAATATTGCATCAATCATATATGAATGACATCATACATTTTCTGATTTTTTTTCACTTGCCATTTTAGAATATCCTGGGCCATGTGCTTTTTAGAAGCTGTAGATAATCAATACTTCTTAACAGTGACAACAATTCAAATTTGGCAGTAAAGTTACATGACTCCTGTAATACCCGCATGTTAATAGAACAGCCAATCCTGAAATGGGGTTGAACCTAATAATAGGTAATTTAGATGTCACACTGGGGGAAATTAAAACGAGAAGAATAAGCCCATGCTTTATGACACTATGAATAGCACATCATATTTTTCAGGATAGAAGCTCCTGGGCAAATTCTTGAAATACTCTTTTCACAGGATGTGCTGTGAGACATTTGTTACTCATTTAATGGATTAATAATCTCCCACAGTTTCTTTTCTACTAGGTGTTGTTAATATTATTTATAGTGTATTACAGGCTATTTTTAGATTTCATTAAAATGAACAAAAAACATATACCTTGTCCTACAATTAGCTTTTAATTTAACCTGATTTATCACAAGTAGCAGTGGAAAAACCTTGGGGGGAAAAAAGGTGACCTTGAAAAAGCCAGAAAAGAGACAAAAGCAGAGAAAGAATTGAAAAAAGGAGAACGTAACCATTTCCCGTATCTCTATGCACTGCTTTGAAGAGAAAGGCACGTTTGGCAGAGACCAGTCAAAACGGTGCATTGTAGAAAAATAGAGTAGATAAAATCAGCGACTGCTGGAGGTTCTTCAGTGTGTTGAAAATATCCATAATAAAGTGTTTGAAAGCAGAGATGGAGACCAAAAATGATGACGATGATAGTGATGATGAAGATGATGATGATGATGATGATGACAGTCGATCTTTTGTGCATTTCTGCTGGGTGAGAAAGGAAGACATAACTACGAAGTCATTACAGTGATTTCCTTTCTTATCTCAACCATATATGCACACACAGCAGGTCAAGGCTAGACAAAGCAAGGCCTCCAAAAGGTGAACACCTGCTTATAATGAAACTGCATCAATTCTTCAAAGTATTTCCTCATAAATAAATAAATAAGATGTAAACAGTCATCCAGAGTGGTTTGAAATGCTCTGTTCTAGAGAAACTTACTGAGTCAGAATTGTTCACAGTGGCAGTGATAGGAACCAGATGTCTTTTTTTTGCAGTTTAAAGATAAGGAAAACCCTCTTCTGATCAGATATCTCGAAGGTTGGAGAAAATTTTCGAAAAACTATTTTTGGGGATGGGCTGTTTTGATTTTTTTTCCATTCTCATTTTCAGTGGTGAACACAGAAGGATGGAAGGTAGCTAAAGTTACTGCTAGAAGTCTGAATATCTTATTGCAGCCTTAACAGTGGTGACTGTCATCAATCGTCACTACAATGGAGAAAAGAATTACTCAGACCTGTCAGTTTTTTCAATATATTGACATTGTTTACAATTGTTTTGTGACAAATTTTGCCTTAAAACCTTTTTAAAATACAGGGTGATTCCAAAAAGTTCATCTGATTTCACTTGTAAATCATTACAGAACAGTGTAGTAAACTGTAAATGGTTTAAATGAGCATAAAGTTTATTATGTAATTTTACAAGTGCTCAATATGAACCTCCTCCAGCTGTACAGACATCAACACCATAGTCAGATTCATCCCATACTGGATTGAGCATGTCGGGTGTCGCTGCACTCACGGCTCTTTCAGTGCGATTTCGGAGATCATCCAGTGTTGTGGAACCAACGGCGAACACTCTGAGCTGTTGGAGGTTCACTGCCGATGAAAATCACGCTGCACAGTTATGACGGATTCACTTTTATTGAAGTGGAGAACGCAGAACGCTTTCTGCTCAGGGGTCTCATCTCCTCTCAGACTGAAGGGAGCCATCTTCCACTGACAGTCAGAAACTCTATGACCCCTCTTTCAATTGGATTGTGATTGGTTCCTAGACGCCTCACAGTTGTAAAATTATAGAAATCGTATGAATCTTTTTGAATCACCTGTACATTTGTAGCAGAGAGGTACATTGTGAGGCAAAAACATGTCTCAAAAAATGTATTTTTTTATATTTACCCCTATTTTACCATCCTGAAAATAACATAACACCTCTGTGGTTTCCCTGATGGTTTTAGGTGGTTAATAAAGGGGCTAGATCTGTGTAGCAGACTTCAAGATCCCTGGTTGATAAGTTTCATCAAACCACTCTGAATGAATTGGCACGTCATTGAGTTTAGATCAAGTATAGAATTTCGAATGAGTGAAGAGAGTTACCTGCCCACCAAAAGGAACTCGCCCACCAGACGTCGGCGTCTCATGGCCATGAGGATGCCGCGCACGGTCATGCCCTCGCAGAAGCATGCCACCACGCGGGCTTTGGGCAGGTGGCTGCGCAGCTTCTCCAGCAGCCGGTCGAAGCTCTGTTCCCCAGCATTGCTGTAGATCTTATCAGAATGCGCAATGCAGATGCCTTCTTTAGCTGCCATATCTTTGAAGGCTTCCATTCCACTCTCACCATAGTTTCCTGCAGATAAACATCAAGAGCACTTTATTGACCAGTGTTCCGTGAGACATGTGTTCTTCCACAGACACATATAAGCACAATAATGCAGAGTTAGGGACGTCTAAGGTGGTAGAAAGGAAACATATTGCATTGTTTTATACTTCTAGCAAAAAGACATTAATAATGGCTTTGAAACAATTAACATTTTGTATCTGACCATTCTCTAAAAGATTCCTTAAGGAACCATATACAGCAAGTTATGCATTGTGGAGAAAAACCATGCAAAGAACCTTCTATGTAGGATTTAGGGATTTTAGGGAGGGGATCGGATGAGAGAACTCAAAACTTGTCAAAGAGAAGGAAAAACTTGGTGAGGATGTAGGTGAATGGTCTGCTATTGTCATCATATCTTCATCAGTATATACACCGATCAGGCACAACATTGTTTCTAAGCTCATTGTCCATTTTATCAGCTCCACTTACTATATAGGTGCACTTTGTAGTTCTACAGTTACAGACTGTAGTCCATCTGTTTCTCTGCATACTTTGTTACCCTGTTCTTCAGTGGTCAGGACCCCCATGGACCCTCACAGAGCAGGTACTATTTGGATAGTGGATCATTCTCAGCACTGCGGTAACACTGACGTGGTGGTGGTGTGTTAGTGTGTGTTGTGCTGGCATGAGTGGATCAGACACAGCAGTGCTGCTGGAGTTTGACAGTATAAATGAATGTGAGTTCACTGTTAGGCAAATGACAGGTCACTGTTGCTCTTTTTATTTGTTGTAAATGCTTATTAATTATTTTAATTCTTTAAAACCATATAAATAACCATTAATAAATGCATTTTAAACCATTCCTGAACCATTTATAAGGGTAGACTTATTTTAAAGTCCCTGAAATCGTATTTGTCTCTACATGTGTTTGGCCGATGCTGTTCGAGCTGTGTTTTCTTCCACTCCATTCAGACACAAGCTAATGAACAACATTCTGTCGTGCCCCCATTTCGCATAGTGTCAGGGGTAAACTCCCCCATTTCACAGAATCAGGTCACCTACTTTCTGCCCATACATATCAAGTGTTTCAGTAAGACTGCTGATCTAGGATGCATTTACTGCGCTCATTGAGATCTGAATAGAAAAAGAAAAAGATCTTGCATGATCACATTAAAAATTTGATACATGCAGCCCCTCGTTCTGCATTTACTGTGAGATTTTAACCCCACAGATATTGCACTGTAATGTGTACTATAGCCAGTTGCCAATGTAAGTCAGGAAGTATTTCTCTTGCATTAGCTACATTAGCCACATATGCGTAGGCACTGTTTTCACCAAACATACAAAAAATCATGCATACCACAGGCCAAGATTTGGTAGCAGTGTAACTTTGCAAAAATAAACATTGGCTGTGTTCGAAATAGCCTACTACGTACGCTCATGTACTGATTGTAAACAAAAGTAATAAGTACTATGCAGTATGCCAAAGATACCCAGATGACGTACTGCTCAGTATTCCAGTATATAGGCAAAGCTATCTTCATGATACTCTGGATCCCAAAATGCAAAGCAGTTATTTTAAGAGGGGGTAACCACTGACATACCCGCCTGGATATTTTTAACAGCTGTGAATTCAGATTTGTCCAAATCCTGCTACACTCAGCTTTCTCTTCTGGTTTCAAGGTAGGTTTGCTGACTTCATCTGTTCAATAAAGTTAAGTGACTGCACAGATAACTCGATTAAAACAGTAACTAAGCAAAGTTAGTCTCAGCCAAACAATCCACACAGCGTCTGCTTTTCAGGCTCGTCTGTGGAGTCACACTGCTTATTATTCAGTCAAACTCGCTCGTATAACAACTATAAACATAATGAAAATGAAATGACTGACCTTTTAGCAAACTTAGAAAAACATGTCTTTGGAAACCACACAGGTTTACCACACAGAAGAACCCAAAGCTGACATTTTTAGTTAATTTGTGGCTTTGAAAGTGAGTAGAAAACACCCTCTGCTCTGTCAGGGTGTCTTTAAAAACTCAGCAGACACATCAGCTCAACAAAATATATCCACACATGCTGCTAAAGAGCTGCAAAGCAGCTAGCAACAGTTGTTAAGCAGTGATTGGATGGTCAAGGAAAATAGGGTGGGTGTGGATTGGCTCAGTCCCTTATGCTGGCAGTTGCTCCCTTGCCCTATATTATAGCACAAGGCTTTTGTCACATATTGGATACTACACTGTATTTTACTATGAAGAGTAGCATGCAGTATACAGTCTCTACTGGTGCAGTATGCAGTATACAGTCTCTACTGGTGCAGTATGCAGTATACAGTCTCTACTGGTGCAGTATGCAGTAAATAGTATATACTGGTGCAGTATGCAGTATACAGTATCTACTGATGCAGTATGCAGTATATAGTATATACTGGTGCAGTATGCAGTATACAGTCTCTACTGGTGCAGTATGCAGTATACAGTCTCTACTGATGCAGTATGCAGTATATAGTATATACTGGTGCAGTATGCAGTATACAGTCTCTACTGGTGCAGTATGCAGTATACAGTCTCTACTGGTGCAGTATGCAGTAAATAGTATATACTGGTGCAGTATGCAGTATACAGTATCTACTGATGCAGTATGCAGTATATAGTATATACTGGTGCAGTATGCAGTATACAGTCTCTACTGGTGCAGTATGCAGTATACAGTCTCTACTGATGCAGTATGCAGTATATAGTATATACTGGTTCAGTATGCAGTATACAGTATCTACTGATGCAGTATGCAGTATATAGTATATACTGGTGCAGTATGCAGTATACAGTATCTACTGGTGCAGTATGCAGTATATAGTATATACTGGTGCAGTATGCAGTATACAGTATCTACTGATGCAGTATGCAGTATATAGTATATACTGGTGCAGTATGCAGTATATAGTATATACTGGTGCAGTATGCAGTATACAGTCTCTACTGGTGCAGTATGCAGTATATAGTATATACTGGTTCAGTATGCAATATATAGTATATACTGGTTCAGTATGCAGTATACAGTATCTAAAGGTGCAGTATACAGTATACAGTATATACAGGTACTGTTTCTAGAAGATCTATCTATCTATCTATATATCTATCTATCTATCTATCTAAATATCCATCTATCCATCCATCCATCCATCCATCCATCCCCTCCCCTCCTCTTCACCCATCATTGCTCGCTCACAGCTCAATATTGTTACAATATTTCAGGCCAACACTGTCCTGGTTAATCTGAAATATATTTTATATCATTATATTTATTAAAAATATCCAAATTGTTTTCTATTCCATTTCCATAGTGGAGAATGGCCACAATGGAGTCTGCAGAACAAGGCAACACTAGATGTCAATATCCATAAAAATGTGGTAATGATTGATGTTTTAAATATTTTAAAATCACTGCATGCTTCCATAGTTTTGGATTGTTGGTAATTTATTACAGGTTGGAAACCCTGAGCCAGAAACCAGCAGAGTTTAGTGATTTTCCTAACCCTGACAATTAACTGATTAGTTCAATCAAGCATAGTTGAGAAGGAAAATCACAAAACCGTGAACCCAGGAATCCAGTCTCCCAGGACCGGAGTTCCCCACCCCTGATATATAAAGATAAGACATAGAATATTGAGTGCCTTGTGCACCAAAAATACTCTGAGTATGTGAACTCGATGGCCATTATGTTCTCAAGTGTACACAAAGGAAGGTGTGTAGTCGTGCCTCCAGGGGAGTGGATGACATAACCATGCATTTCCCTCTTCCTAGCACTGCTCCATATGATCTGTGCCGCGGCCCAGCTTTGCTCCGTTATTATTAATCTCTGCTTAAAGCATTTTTTTAGCAAGGCCTCTATGAGTCATAAGCACACTCTTTCTTTTTCCTTTTTAGTTCCAGCAGATGTTTTAAAACGTGCTTGCTGGTCATGTGACGTGCATTTCGACTCTTTGCATTCAACTGCATTCATTTTGGAAAACATGTCTTTGGAAACCACACAGGTTTACCCCACAGAAGAACCCAAATGTCATAGAAGAACCACTTTTGGTTCCTTAATTATCAATGTTTGATAAAGAGATTTGTCACTTTAAAGTTCTCAAGAACCTTCACGTGATGCGAACATCCTATACTAATTTAGGGGTTCTTCATAGAACCATTAGGTCACGGGTGCTCAGTCCTGTCCTGGAGATCACATCTGCTTTATGTCATGTAGATGTTCTTTAAGGTTCTTCCCACTCAAATATGTCATGTACAAAAATGGTTCCCTCAAGAACCATCCATTGGACGTTTTTTTTAGGGAACCAAATGTGTTTTTTTTATGGCAGTGGTTCTATGGCAGTCCTCAGGGCCAGATTTTTGCTCTACAGCTTTAAAAAAATGTTCTTCAAGGGTTCTTTATTAAAGGCAATAGTTATATATTGAACCATGAACACTCTAAGAAACATTTGAATGCATACATTGTTCTATGTATGGGTAAATGGTTCTTCTCTATGATGGAAAACATGTTGTACATGTTTTTTTTTTTAAAGAACATTTTAAAGTGGTTCTATGCAGCACTGAAAAGTTCCATTGTTGTCACAAGTCATAAACCTTTTTTGGTAATATACAGAACTCTTATTGCCCAATGTGTTGCACAAAAATGTGGACCCTCTGTAGGACCTTGAGGTCCAATTTGAGAACCGTCGTTCTGTGGAATCACATAAAGAACCCTTTTTGCCCCCTTTATTTTTAAGACTGTATTGTTTTTATTGTCAGTGTTCCACTACTGTGTGAAGTGCAGTCAGCATATTCTTTAAAATAGTTTTGAAACATACCAAAATCATCAGATTATGTGGTGGTAAAATTTGACATTTCATGATGCACTGAATCATCTGTGAGGTCAGAGATTTATATCATCAGAGTTATATTCCTGTTATACACTGTCAAATTCTTCAATCTGTACCCAGTTTGTTTCTCATTTCAAGCTTCCAGGCTATGAAAAGTTTAGTGGCAGTTTTTCT